ATTACAGTGTTAGTGCCATTTAAAATTCTACACTAAGCAAAAACTTCTTAGTATTACCACATTAACACTTACTCTACTGTCAGCCTGAAAAGCCAGCCCCCAGCTTTGCAACTGAAATGGTATCAAATTAGCAGATATTTTAAGGTTTCACATATTATATGTCAGCTCTGCTGTAATTCTTATTTATGTGATACCTGAATAGCACAGCAACCCAGAGCAGGTCCTTCATTGCAAGAACTTGGTTTCAGGATGTTGTACTAGTGAAAGGAGTCAGGAATCCTGACCTGTCACCTGGTGCTGAGGACAACGCATTATATTAAATCCTATTAGTCACATTTGGTAAGTAACCTACAGGAGTTGTATTAAAATAATTCCTTATTCATGCTAAAATCATTGAACCTTCAGAAGCTCTTTATAAACATAATACAATTTCACCGATTCCTTCACTGTACTCTCATTCAACTCTTCATTCAGATAAGACACTAACTATAATTATTTCATAAAGAAGTAAACATATCTCTTTGTCTAATGAGATTCTCATTTGCTTTCCACCTAGAAGGGTGCCAATACTTTGGGGAGGGCCTGACCATCTGTCTGTCAACTAGGCTACCACTACATTACATTATATATTTATGGATCACTCCACAAAGGGAGGTTCATTACAACAGCCACTGAAAGCCACTGAAATTTACTTGGATCCCCTAGCACTGAGAATTATTCATGCCATACAGGGGTGGTTCTGTCAATTGCTCAGAGATATTTCTCCTTTAACTGCTCCAGAACTGCATATTTCTCAGATTTCCAAACAGCAAGGAGAGTGGGAAAATATTTTAAGCAACCTAAATTAAAGATACAGAAGATATTTCTGTTAATGGAACAACAGAGGTTTCCTTCCTTTGAGTTCTTTGCTTTAAAATGCCATTTTTACACATCACATTAAAAAAGGGATTTAAAAACAGAAGCTTCAGAACAGTTAATAATTTTGTTATCCTCAAACTACAAATTCTTCTAGTAGCGCAGACACCTAAGTCATATTCAGAGCCACAGCATAATATCTAATAATCATCACTAAGAGATTCAAGCTTAACATTTGTTCTTAGATTACATGCATCAAATAGTATAGAAATATCTAAGCTTCATGAAGAAGAGTACTGCATAATAACCTGCAACATGATTTTGTCATGAAAACCTGGGCAGCATTCAAACCTTTCATGACAATTCCCTTTAGAGTGTCATGAAACAATCCAATGTCTACGTGTATATATATATATATGTATATATATATACAACAGTTGCTTTTTCTTTTCCCTGGAAACTATCTGAGAGTTGAGAAGACCTTATAGAAAGCAATTCAAACTTATTCACTATGGTTCCCTACAACAAGGCTTGCTTTTTCTTTTCCTGATACAGGAAAAGTACATTCACATTTGCATTAAAAAAATCACACTGTACATTTGATTCCCATAGCTCAGAGTGAAGCTTATGGAACACTGAGAAGTATGGAGAGATTACTCAGATTACAGTTAACAAATCACAACTTGATATATAAAATCACATAGCCATAGGCTACTACATCTCAGTTAGTGCTGTGAAACACTGACTTCAATATTATCCATTTTAGTTCTTAATATCATTGAGTGGTGCTGGAAACAGGCCATAAACTCTTTTGTCTGCTTTGTCTTTGTTCTGCTTTGTTACCAAAGCTGATAGGAACAGGAAAATAGAAAAATAATAACTTTTAAAACAATATTTTCATTTTAGAAAGCAGGTGATCCCACTCTGCAGTGCTATCAGCCATAATTAATACTCACCTTACTTGGTAGAAACAAGAGGGAAACTTAAGATTCAAAAGGCCAGTGGTTTTCCTGATATGTCCTGAGAGCTAACCCTCGTGAGTATTTCTGCTATGCAGCCTGGTCAATTAATGCGCAAATATTCTGATGAACTTACTTGTCTGTGAAATCAGCAACTCAAATGCCTGTTATATTTGCAACATACTCCCTTGAGTATTTAGGATGACGTTCTTCTCTTTGCAGCAGACATTGAGTACTATGAAACTGGTTACCAGACAGTAAAGACTTCATTTAGTCATCTAGGTCTATATGTAGATTTAGGCATCCTCAGCAACAACAAATGATACCCAACAAACTACGAAAGCATGACAGGCGATGTGGCTCGTGCTGCAGAGATGGCGTCGTAAGTGGTATCCCATTCAGACTCCACTGAAGCAGAAGCACCAATGGCATCACTCACAGAAAGAAGTCAGACCTTCCAAGAGATCTCAGCTTGTATGAAGAACAGTACATAAGATGAAAGGGCTTATCAATTTAAAGATGCAAACAGCAAAAAAGCTTCCAATTTATCATGGTAAGTTTCAGGAATGGCAATGCGAAATTGCATTAAATTAGTTACGTGATGCGAGTTTAATCCTTAGATGATCACAGGGGCAGGTTAAAACACTATATGTATTTTTGCTGATGAAGGTAATAAAAAAGCCCCAAATCTGACTCATTCCAGAGGTGAAAATGATCCAACATACACATCTATAATTATGAAAAGACGTCCTATAAAGAAAGCAGAATAGATATTTAATGTCTGTCACCTCTGCCTCCTCAACTTAACAGAGTCACAGAAAAGCTGATGGTGGAAAGAGATTTCTTGAGATCACCTAGTGCAACCCTCTGCTCAAGCAGAGTCACCAAGAACTAAGGAATGTGTCCAGCCAGAATTTTAATGTCTTCAGAGATAGATATAATCATTCTGGGCTGCCTATTTTGGTGCTTCACTACTCTCATTGTGAAAAAGTATTTTCTTGTGTTCAGGTGGAATTTCACTTGTTTTAATTTGTGCCCATTGCCTCTTGTCCTGTCATATGACATTAGTGAGAAGAGCCTTCATTCTTTGTTTTCTTCCATAAGCTATTTCTATATATCAGTAAGATCTCTATGAGTCTTCTCTTCTCCACATTGAACAATCTCAGCTTTTTCAGCCTCTTCGCATGTGTAAGATCCCCAGTCTCTTAATTTCTCTTCATGGTCTTTTGCTGAAATCGTTCCAGTAAGCCAATGTCTTTGCCTTGTTCCAGACCTTGGAACAAGATCCAGATTTGGCCCCAGCAGTGCTGAGTAGATAAGATCTTTACGCAACAACAGTAAATACGAAGGCAAGACAGAGTCTAAGCCAACTGAATGATGAACTGAAGCTCCAAAATGAAATCATTTAATATAGGATCTCAATACAAAATGACCACGCAGCAACACTGAAAGTAAATTCTTTCATTGCACTGAGTTAATCTAAACTTCTTCATACCTAGAATCATCATGATTCATGGAAAGAACTAAGTATAATTCATCTGTTCTCATAAAAATCTACTGCAAAGATCTACATTGTGATGATACAAACGTTTCCAAAACCATAATCTCCAAATTATTTAATACTAATATATCATATAACACAGCTACACTAGTAGTCTTCACATATTTTAGGCAAGAAGAACTGCATATATCACTGCTTATTATAAAAAGTAAAGGCAGACCAAAGATGGGGCAAATTAGTGTGTTTAATTCTGTGTAGTTGTATCTGGTTTTGACGCCAAAAGTCACCTTTTCCATAAAAATATACATTTGCTCTCCAATCATATTTCTCAGAAATCACCATGGAGATAAGCAATGGAAGTTAACACGATCACTATTCCTATAAAAGAATATTCCAAAAAGAGCAAAAAAGGATAGAAGGTATTCCTTCTCCAAAAAGATCAGGCTGAATTTTTACATGCTTTTCTGTAATGAAAGGTCCAGAGTCATCTACAGCAGATGAGAAATCATTTTGGACCAATTTAAAATAGTTATTAAAATTTAAAAAATGACCCTTTATGAGCACTGATATAAGAGATGTGAAATCTACGGGAAAGCAAATTTAATTGCAATCACACGTCCATTTCTACTAATGTATCATCTTCTAGAGCAAGAGATTTAATTCTCCCTGTGTCCTCCAAAATCTACATTGTATGTTCCATAGTTCCATCTCATTATTGTTCAGAGCACTAAACCCAGAATAATTAAAATGCAGGCACTTTAGTAATACCACTTATTTAGCTTAGTCATATTTACCTCCAGAAGGGTTGAACTTAATTTACCCCTTAAACAAGGCTTGAGTTCTAAAAAGATACTGGAACATATAAATTAATTGGGATTCTCTGCAAATTATTTTGCTGCTAAATCATACATTTTCCATAACTTTCTGTAACTTCACATAAGCTTTATTTATTTAGGAGATCAGCTTTTGGAGGCTTTACTATTGCCAGTTTTAAACATATAGAAATTGCCCAAACATAGTAAAAACATTTTGAAAATACCAACAAAAAAGTTGCAATCAATAATGGAAACTAATTCAATAACTGCACCTGAAATTTAGCCTTCTCCTTTAATTTGATTCTATCTGTATATTTTAGGGTATGGTTTGTTTACTTCTCTCACTGCAAAGAAACAGCTACATAATCAGCCACAGAACTGATTGCAAGAAAATTGAGCCGATAACCTTGTTATATATCAGCTGTAGTTAATATCTTATAAACTTATTAAAATGATGTTATATATCAGCTGTAGTTAATATCTTATAAACTTATTAAATGATTTTTTACATATAAAGAATAAAAGTAAAGATACAAACAACTGGAGTCTGCAGTGTGTGCTAGCAATCATTGCGGGTGGGTAAACTGACAACATGTAACTGCATATTAAGACAAATGTAGAATTTAGACAAAGTATTCCATCTCTTTTCAGATGTATACTTTTAAACCTCAGGAACTGTTTTCAGTAGATGTCATGCCTTTTAACTTGAAAAAAGATAAGCGCAAATAAGCTCCCAATTGTCTCCCCAATATGTAAACCACATCTCGGGCTGCTGTCTCTGTTTCTCCTTTGAAGTTTCCCTGAAATGTCATGTGTTGTGAAGACTGCTGTGCATAAGCAAGACAATTTGCTCACTCTCAGAATTCTTACCGGTTTCCACTGCTATTTGGTATCCAGCCTCTAGTCTCCGAGATGACCTTTCCAGCCTCTCTGTGTTATCGAGCAGATGTGCCCTCTGAAAAAGAAAAGGGGAGAGAGAGGGAGAGAGAGAGAGAGGGAAAAAAAAATAATCAGGCAGCAGTCTACAATGCTCTCCCCCCTTTTTTAATTGTACTTTCATATTCCAAAACACAAAAATATCCATGTATATTTTATGGAAGAGCCTGCTACGAGGACTACTGGAAGGGGCAGGTTCTGTGATCAATCATAATTATGTGTACCAATCATTTTTATGTTGAAACATGGAATACGTGCTTCACTCTTATCACATGAACTCACAAAACAGAAAGGGACTATTATATGGGAAAGCTGAAGAGCATTTCCAAAACAGATTTCTCTGTGACACATGCATGCAAGCACCCATGATTTCTACTCAACTACAGTCTCACTTTAAATGCGAGTGGTACTTTTTAACATGAACTTAATTTTCAGCAGACGATATATTTCCTTCATGTGTACTACTCAAGTGAGGCGATAAAAACAACGAGATATTCATACAGAATACTGAACAGCATGAATATTCTTTAGACTGTTTGATGTAAAAAGATGTAAAAACAAAACACCGGTTTCTTGATTTACATCTCTTGTGCCTAAATATATATACGAATGTATAAATAATAAACACACAGAGGTGTAAGATATTTTTCCCAGAAGTCATTTGCCCATTTATGATAATAACAACGAACTCTAGTAAAAATGCTCCTTCCAATGCATTTTCGCTCAGCGAGTCTTCAATAGTGAAAAAGTGGAATTACAATTTTCATTAGTTTATTTTCCACACAAAATGCAAGCTTTCTTCCTTTGGCCATTTGATCCCAGACTTGCTCTAATCAAGTCATCAAAAAATACAATCCCCCCCACTCTCCCATAAAGTAACCACACACCTCACCAAGCACCCGTTCTATTCCAAAATAACGTTCTGGATATTTGTCAAAAAATATTTCCTACAACTTCGCCTTGTTGACAGATGTCATTTAAAAACTGAAGAAATGCTTTCTAATAATAATAATAAAAAAAAAGGAGGTACCATACATATTATCTGAGTGGCTGTCTACCGAAACGATCTACCTTGCTCTAATGAGCCCCTATGGATCTTGGGAGATGCAAGCTGTATTGACATGCACACTTAAGCTAATACACCTAGACCAGTGCCTCCAAGCTCTAGCAGCCAGGGATGCTGACAGAATATCTCGCTTCTATCTTCAAAGAAAGGAAGTGATTAGTATGTTATCATTACCATTCAAAACGTGATTTCCCTATTCCCTCCCGGCATAGGTGACACATCTCTGAGATGCGGCCAGACGATCGAGGCAGCTAAAGCCACATCAAAGCTTGCCTTGAATTTTTTTTTTCCCCTCTCTCTCTTTTTTTTTTTTTTTTTTTTTTTTTGAAATCATTAAAACAATGCATTTAGATCAGCACAGATAGGACCCAATGTGAAGGTCAGGAAAGCTGCAATAACAGTCTATAATAATTAATAGAGTTGTCTAATACACAGTGGATAGGTTAAGAGTAAATTGGAAAAAAAAAAAAAAAGCCTTTTGCATTCATGGGGGGCAGGCCACCAAGAAAAAAAAACAACAGCAAGAGCACTTAAAAAATTTAAAACTGTACTGTAAGTTACAAAGCTGTAATTGAAATCATGACAGCAACTAGAGCGGTGCTTGTTCTTAGGACTCATGGTCAATCTAGATAATTAGTGTTAATTTTACTTAATTTTATTTTTTAAAGTCACCTTTTCATAACATATGCTGGTTCCTCTCCATTGCCCACTAGAAAAAGAAGTGTAAGCCTGCAGTGCCTTTCTTCAAATACAGCCCCCCTACCCTCGAATAATATTAAAGAACAACCGCAGTTAAATATTTTAAGTCTTGTAAAAAACGTCAGGAATTTAATGCTGCTACACTGATATCTCTCCAGAAAGAAAAGGAGTGGAAGAGGTATCTGGGGGGAGGGATAAATAAGGAGTTCAGAGGACAACAATCCTAAAAGTTAGACAGGAGATACTTAAAACAAAAAAAGAAAAGAAGGGACTGGGAGTGGGCACAAGGAACAGAGTGTTATAATTAAAGAACAGATGCACAGCACTGTAGTGGCACACTAGGAATGAAAAGACAAGCCTACTATGTTAGGGGAGAAGGAGAAAATAATCAGATTTCACATTTCAATGTAAAAGAGCTGCCCAACAGAAAGAATTAACATGTAATTGTATTTTTTTATACACTATACTAGCCGCAGTTTGTCTAAAAGGTAAATGATAAGCCCACAGTTAGTTCAGTCCTACTGTGAGCAATTAGAATACTAAAGCATTGTGAACTCGGTACTAACATTAACTCAAAGCAGTTTCTTACCTTATTTCAGAACCTTTTCACCCAAGCCACTCTACAATGAGACCTTTTTATTTTTATTACAAATGACAATTATTTACGTGCTCTGGCTTGGGAGGCATACAGCCCTTTGGCCATGAAATCAGTGCCCGACAGCAGCAGCTGATGCCTTCCTGCTCCCCAGCCCTCCCCACACTCCTTCTGCCACTGCATCCCTGCTCTGAGAGGTGGGCAGGGAGGTGATTCAGTGCGTCTTGCAGCTTCAGAAACAGCTTCTATCTGAGTTACATAAGGAAGTTTTGCAAAGTGGCATGCTATCACTAGAGATTTTGTCATTCCATGTGGGCTGGATTCAAACTGAGATCTCAGGAGCTCAAAAGACAGAGCGGCACAGCCTCCACGCGATGCTGCGTACGGTGTGAGTGCCGGAACAGAGCCCGGTAATGAGAGGAAGTGTAGGTTTTATTAACAAACAGAATGGCAAACCATAATTTCTTTCAAGATCTGTTCATACCTCCTTAGGAGAATTATAATTGTGGATGCCTTGATGTTTCACTAGGGGACAAGTTCAGAATTACACCTCAGTCCCTGTACCAGTCTTCGTTTAAACTTTAACATGCATTTTGCATCCAGTATTAAAACAGCACTGCAATCACAACCTACTCAACACACAGTCCCTTAAGTACAGGAAATGGAATGTCAACAATTATTATTTTTTTTAATTATTTCTCTCTCTACCTGTTCAGTTTTGTTCTAGACAACAAATTTATTTACATCTCTTTGCTGTTGCTCTCCAAATAGAGAGAGGAAAAAAGTAACTTCTGAGGCTAACCAGGAAAAGCAGAAAATTACTAGAAGCAATGTCAAAAAAATTTAGCTGAATGATAGAGTAATTATAAGCTCCAAAAGGTATGACTCATTATGAGTTCAGTATAGCTCCAAAGCCCCAATCCTGTGCAATAACATTCTGAATTTTCTTATTTGCCTTCATAGTTTTTTCAGAAAGAAGAGCAGTTAAGTCGCAGCTTTGTTCTTTATATCTAATTAAATTTTCAGAGTAACCTACAAATTAGGAATCTGCCCGTTTATAAACCTATAATCTCTGTTTGCAAGCAAAAATGTTCCTACTATATTGCTTTACAAAAGCACAGGAGCAGACGTGCGAGCGTTGTTAAAGGGTTGAGCGAATGGATCTTGCTCTTCTGAAAGTAATCTCAGAAATCAGGCTGTACAAACCCTTGCAACAATATTGTCATCTGTTTAAATACTGGGACTGTTGGGGAGGGGAGCTCAGCAGTGGTGGGAGGGCTTTCATGCAGTTACATGTTTATTTTGTTTAATTTTTTTTATTCGCCACATTACTCTGCAGCTTCAACATATTAATATCAGCTCCACAAGAAGAAGGAAAAATAAAGTATTCAGGCAACTGGTGAAAGAATCTTTATATCACAAATATCTTACTGTTTCTAAGAATTGCCTGTAATTGCCCCTAATCTGGTTACTTTACATTTCTTTGTCATCACCATTTCTAAAACTTACAAATCCTTTTCTGCAGAGCTCAGGATTCATTATTGATATGCCTGGGCATACACGTTTCAAAAAGAAGATACCAGACAAATATGTGATGTTAAAATGCCTCTAAATATACTTATTCAAATACTTCACTGGTTCAAACTCTCCACGTGAAACCCTTCAAAAATCCGACCTCTAAGTAATCTTGACTTTCCTGAGACCTCATTTTTGGCAGCAATCGGGAAACAATAAAAAAAAGCAGTTCAGATACCTGCTTTGCTCCAGCAGCAAGGAACTGAGTATATTAATTTCAGAACATATACTGAAACATTAGAGGAACTGACCATTAAAACAGACGTTCTCTCTCTAAATATTTATGAGTCATTTTATAACTGGAAGAAAGGTGTTCCAGAATACTGATCTCTAGTGTTACACCTACAGATCTACAGCACACACAAATAAATAATAAATATTGATACGTGAGCGTGGGTCTACTTGTGCTGTATTTTCAGTGGGTTTCACTATATAATACATAAGCCATTTCAGTGCTTCACACCAAAGTCAAAGCGTTAGGAAAAACCGTGTAATTCTGCCAGTGTTTCAGCACAGGTTTTAACCAAAGCAAAGCTTTCACTTTCAGTACCAGTGTACGAATGTATTTACCCTATCAAAGATTTTGTGATGCAAACAAGATTATTACTGTACCAGATTTGATCATGGTATTCTAGCAGACATCAAATAATAGGTTTTCTTTTTTTTCCTTCTTTCTCTAGTGCCTTTAAAAAAAATTCCACTATCAAAGAATGTTAATTTCTTAGGTTTGATCTGGAGATTCCTATGTAAGTATACAATTATTAGGAAAAAAAGAGGCAGAACAGTGAATATTTTAAAGCAGTATAATCAATATTTTTGCTTTGTGCAGATTTCCCTGCAACAATGAACAAAAAGATCTACTTCAGATTTAGAAACTCAGCTTTAAAGGGAAAGCTAGACAACAAAAAGCAAGAAAGTACTCACCTCTTCACGTAATTTTATCAACTGCAACATGAGCGCACAAAAAAGATAAAAAGGAAAGAAATGGCAGGAAAGAAAGATCAGTTGTGTGACAGGATACAGAATTAACATTGACAATTTATCTGTTTACATGTTTAGCATTTAAAAATCACAGACAAACACATTAAAAGAACCTAAACATAGACTACATGCAGAGTTTTTTGAACGAATAAAGATCACTTTCTCACACTGTCACATTAAACAAAGAGAATAGTGTGAAATTCTCTTTTAAACCACATCTAAGACACCATCATGAAATAAAGGGGAATGACTTCATAGAAGTCTATATTATAAAGAAAAAAAAAACAAGTTTACTATTCCTCTCTGCGAAGACTGTACAGCTGAAGTGGTTTTGTGTATACAAGTTTTCAGAATGTTTTCTGTATATTTCAGTTGTGACAACTGATTTCTTATTTTACGAGCAGATCTAACTTATTAATAGATGAGTGCATCTTTACAGCATGTCACCGCTACTCCGATTTTTATATACCTTCATTTGAATGCGACTATATTGTCTGGTTTGATTATTGAACCTCACATCTATATTATCTAGTTGGATTACGGAGCCTCATATGGACACCCTTTTCCTGTTGAGAAAAAAAAAGCAGCTTAGATAAGCGGCTCGGAATGATGATTTACTGCACAGCATATTTAATAATAGACAAAGGAGTAGGGAACAACACAAAACATGTTTCCCTCAGGAAAGACTCACTCCAGGCTCTTATTCCTGGACCACTACGCAGTGTGTGTATGTATACACACATAGTGTATCTGTACATACTTATATAGCATATGCACTTATGCTTATCAATCTACGCTTGTAAATTAACATGATCTAATGCTATTAATAATATTGCTCTGGCAGGTTTACCATAAAACTAAATAAAATCCAGTCTGAACATCGAGTTATGCTGTAGTACTCTCTCCATATACAGAGTGAGATAAATCATTGGTACTGGAACAAAAAGTATGATTACTCACAACAAATGTCTGCACAAGAGTGGCTCTTGGTGAAAAAATTACAGTTCTCTCCCCGATTCCAGTTGAATTCAAAATTACAACAGCTACATCATTATCTCAGTTTGTGCTGATACCTCACCTAGTTTTATAACACTCATTTTCAACACGTGTGTGAGCTGAGAATGTTTACTACTGAGAAAGTCTCCTCAGCCCGAGAAGAAAAAAGGCACTTCCATTACTCTCTATTGTTTCATGTGGCTCGCCTAGGTCTGAACACAGCCTCATCCCAAAGCAGACAATGAACCCAACTATGTGTAATTACTGGGGCTACTACTGCAGGAACTCAAGCTGAAATAATGCAACTTTGCTAGAATTTGGCATAAAGAAAACCGTGCTGTCCACCAAACTGCTGCTTAAATTCAACTGCTTGGCCTGTCAGAAATTGGTCTTTCTCCAGCTGTCCCCCTCCTTTTCTCCCCAAAAAGGCAAACATCCCTTTAGAGAGGGGCGATCTGGGAGCTGATTGCATTGCTATCTTTTCTTTCGGAGGCCACCATTCTTCATTTGGCTATGATACTTAAAGGGCCAAAGTTTAAAACTACTCTCCCGCAATAGAGCCCATTTGGGCATGCCACCCTGCAGCAATCAGACGGAGTTTTAAAATGCTGCACATTTGTTTTTTCAATAGGTTCCAAACAAAAATGTTCTATCTTGTTTGTGCTGCATGGCTGAATTTAAGCTCTGCATAGGATTTGCAGCTAAGCTAAGTAATGGGAGAGGGTTTTCTTTTTCTCTTTTTTTTTCCCCTTTTTTTTTTTAAAAAAAAAACATTGGCTGAAAGATATTCATTCAAATTAACAAAAGATGTATTTTTCCCCCATTTAACAATGCACTTGATGAAAATGTGTTACCTTTACTTCTCTATTTTTGAACATTTTCTGGCATTTTTATCACACTCACCACCCAACGGTAAGCAGCGTCAGGCCGTGCGCAGCCACCATTTTAAGTTATGATAATCAGCATATCCTTGAAACAAAGATACATATATTTTTTTTTCAATACAGAATTCGATACAAGAGGTAATCTGGTCCTTTGTAGGCTAAAAAAAAAAAAAATCTGGTTTACGCTGGTTTGAACCAGTGGAATCTCTTGTGGCTAAGCCTTCTGCTGTGACTAAAATCAAAACTGCGCCGCAGAGAGCGGCCGGGGCTGTGTGTGTGTGCCCGTGTGCCGGCGAGGCGTGCACCACGTGATGCACAAAACTACCCAATTTTTTTTTTTTTAAAAAAAAAGCTGATAACGCTACTGCCGTCTCTGTCCGCATACAGATAACGAATAAATGCTGAACTCTATTAAACGCCCTTTACACATTATCGTGGGTCGAACACACAATTTTCTGAACTTATGATGACAGTCTATTTATTTTGCTATAAACCCTCGGCATGTAACGAACAGATTTGTGTCTGGTAATGATCTGCTCTGCCAGGGCTATATGAAATGATACCGACCTTCTTTAGATCTTGGGGAATTAAATTGACCAACTTCACCCCCTGGTCTGTAGCTGAAGTTTGACACACTTTATGCACAGCAAGCCCAAATCTAATATTATCAGAACTTTGTAGTCAGAAATTAAGTAGCCACAAAATATTTGTTCACCACAAATCACATACGCTGTGCATGTGCATACGGACACGCAATTTACCCTAATGCAAATTTACTTCAACATATTAATGAACACAGCTGCCAAAGAGAAAGGAGTAGTATTATATCTCAAGAAAGTTGGTAATGTCATACATGACTATTTTGATTATTTGTGATTTAGCCCAACATCCGCTTTCTAAAAAGCATACAAATCACCACATGAAAACAGTACTGTGATTATTAAAGGGAAGCCACACCTGTAAGTACTGTATCATTGCACTGAAAAGCTCAAAACTTTCAAGGGATTTGACAATCATTGCTGGCCAGCATGACAAATAAGACTTCAAAGTAACAGAGCCCATTTAAGATCACTTCTGGAAAATAAGTAACAAGCAACGCACACAGGCTTTAGGGGATGGGGTTTTTGTTGTTATTATTTGTATGTTCTTGATGGGAGAAGATACGTCTTCTGATTTGGAATCTCTGCATATGACTCATTTGAACATATTTACCAGATAAAATTCAGAGGAAATTAATGTACACTAAGCAATGATTTCATTAAACAGCTTGATATCATTAACTTACTAAACAGAATTGTATGATTCTTACAACTTCTTACAAGGAGTTTCTATAAACATTACTGCAATAAAATTGGTTATATCTTGGTAAAATCACTATAAGCAAATGTATTCTAAGACATTGTCATCTACACATGATGACAGCTACTAATGGATAGCAAAGAGGAAAAAAAAAGAAAAAAAGAAGTGGAAAGACCAATCATCATTAGCTAATTCTTCACTCTGATCTTGTACTTCAATGTTTCTTCTTGTGAGAATAACTGGAAACTCATACCTATGTATTCTACCCTGTTCAGTACAGCTTTTAACTTGGCTGTAACTCTGCCTTTAAAACTCAACTAAATCCAGAAGTTGAATTAAAAAAAAAATTGTTTATTTTCCCAGCAATGCCTCATTTAGTTCTAGATACTCCCATATCAGCCATTCTACAATATTTGTCTTCTCCTTCCATAAAAAACATATAAATTTTTATCATGACAAAGACCATACTTGAAATATACTGCTCATATCTGTTTCCCTTGGGTAACATCCAAGTGTAACCAGACATTCAGCATTTCTATTAGCAGATTTTACCAACATTTCTGGATTGCTACAGGAACAATCTTTTCTTCAATGATTCCTCCCTCATGAGAGGATTGCCTCCTCTCACTTTGTAGCAAAGTTTGCTGACTGAATTGGAGAACAAAGCCCAGCGTCTTTTAGTTTAACTAATTTAACTGAAACTATTTGAGAAGGAAAAATCCTCTAATAATAGTTGGAGGGTCAGACTATGTATATGCATTCCCAACTGACAAAATTAAAGCAAGAATTTGAAATGCCTTCCAATATTTTATATGGCTACAGGTAATACTTGATCATACCTTCTTCATCTAGTCCAAGTCTATTAAAATAGTAATGAGTGACAGTGCGGTAGACTTGGAGTTACTGATCTAGATATTTTGAGGTAATGCATTGCTGACTGTACAGTAATACTCAAGCCTTACACTTGATTTGGATAACTGCACATTCAGACAAGGTCAATATAAGGCTGAAGTTCGTGTACTATATGATTGTATCTGTAACTAAAAGCAAGAAAGATAAGTAGACATATAAATCATGACATCTCATAAGGAGAAGTGTGTGGTTGATTATTGGAATAATGCAATAAATGATATCTTTTGATATATTGATTGATATATTGGCCTTCATATTATGAAAAGAACAGAAGCGGTTCCTTTACGATAATATTTCATAGTATCTTTCAAGGAAGAAAATAAAGAATTCCAGAATTTCCAATGGTATGGGGGTAGGAATTTCAAGTTGGGTCATAAAAAATGAGCTTATTTACCTCTCAGACTAAATAAAACACTAATAACCTAAAAATTTTGTTCAATTTAAGAAGTGGCCATTGGATGAAAAAAAAAATAATCATGTTGATAAATGCTTGTAATTATCATTTCATTTCTTGAGATGAAACCATATTTCTTCCATCAGATTTCAAAAAGAAATCATAGGTTGCAAAAAGTGCACGTAGACCAGTTATTTAACCATTCCTTAAAAAGTGAAAATAAAATATTTTATCTCATCCCTACACATAAGATATTCTGTTAAAAGTGAAGCTTCTTATCACAATTGCCCTTTTATGTCTGAATTCACACATTTTTTTTTCTTGAAATGTAAAAATAGCAGCACCTTAAAAGAAATAAAATTAGAATTTTAACACTTTTAGAGTACAGAGTTTATGTTCATGACACACAGACCATCAAACTCTTCCCTTAAATTCTCCTTTCTGCAAATTCATATTTAGGGATAAAAAAAGGTCTTCCTATTATTTAAATTTTGGAACTCTTTCTTGCTATATATCAAAATATAAATACCTTCTACGTTTAACTTAAACATAGATATTACATCTGCTATGCAATAAGTTCTGCAGATAAATTGTATCCTGTGTATAATTAATTAACATATGTATTACAGTCTCCCACAGAGTTTAACATTTACACAGCACTTTCAAAATACTGTATAACACTGAGGCTTAAGAGGTCTATGCTTATCCATTTTATTAGAATAAGTCTCCAAGTCTAACTTGTCTACCCTTACTGAGCTTATATTAAGGTAGAAGATATAAAAATTTCAGAACACGGTTCTGCTCTGTTTCTTTATTTAATATTGAAGCAGAAAGTATTCTAAAAAGCTTTACTTTCACTACAAAAATAATTAAAATTCTATCTTATCAGAAAACTTTCAACAAATTTCTCACTCAAAATGCACAACTTTTATTGTAGCTGAGCTGATTTGTCATAAAAGAAACATTCAGCTTTCAGACAGAGCTTGTCAAACAAGTTCAGCACCAAAAGAAATATTAACAGCTGGGTCAAATTACTCTGAATATAAAGTTCCCTTCAGAAAGGAGGATCTTCACTGTAGTGTTCAAAGCAACATGAGTACAAGGTATCATGAAAACCTGAGGATTATCATGCTTTCCATCATTAAAAGAGTTGGATAGCTCTCCGCATTCTAGCACAACATACATCATGAAAACATGCTTTCATAAGCACAACTCAAGTTTTGGTACAGGGAGAAAAAGTCTGTTTAGGGTAGGAATCATACTAGGAAACAAAGCGGTGCACAGCCTAAGTCTGAGAGTGTGTTTCCATTTGTTTTGCCTGCCAGTGTTGATTTAATTATACTGCATTATTATCAAAGCAGCATTATGTACTTTTTTTATTCCTTTTACATGTGTTTGAGGTGAAGACCTTGGCTTTGTCGGCAAACAGCGTGTTTCAAGTTATTTCTAAAGTACTAAATAATAAAGAAAAGAGAAGAAAAGATTTTTTTTAAGATAGCAGACAGCGATCACAAGTTAAAGGGTTAAATGTAAGATCTCCAAGAAACATTTTGAAGTTGATTAAGACCCCAGCTTTGCATTAAACAGTATCACTTCCACATGAGTTGTTGCTAATGCTGTTAAGGAGCAGCTTGAGAAGCCCAGTGTGCCAGTGACCTCCTTCACCCTCCAGCCACCCACTAGGGCTTCTTGATTAGCATCCTACCTGGTTCTCTGAGGAATTCCCGTCATCCCCTAGGAGCTCATTCCGCACCTCATCACTGTAGGCGATCCGTGACCTTTTCTGTAAAACAAAAAGAAAAAAGGGTTAGGAAGTAAAGCTCCAAAGCCATTGGTATCAAGACTGATCATCTTAAACCTCGAGAGCCCCCTAATGGATACCTATTTGATTTAAAAAACAAAAAACAAACAAAAAAACCCCCTGCAATTAAAAGTTATAAAAAAGTCCGTCAACAGCTGTATTTTGATAAATCTGCATGGCAAAAGCTTACAATTTCTAAGAGAGTTATATCCGCAATATTTCATTTCATTTAGACAAAAGCAGCTTAAATAATGCTCAAGACAAATCATGTGTGACCCAAGTTCTAATAATAAGGCAATAAAAACTCGTAGCAGAAGCACTGAAGGAACATGTAGGAACAAAAGTAATTTTCCCAAGAAAGACTTGCTAGTAATACTGTAGTGATGCCATTACATAGAAAAGGAGAATTCCTTTCCTATTTACCAAAAAACAGGAAGAAAAAAAGAAAAAGAAGTATGAACAATAGACATCTGAACAAAACTGGTTGAAATTACAGATGTGGAAAATGATAAAGCTTTTCCTTTACTGCTAAGACCTCCACAGAAAGTACCAGAAATCAAGTCCTAAAATACGGGTTAGAAAACAGCAGTACAAGGAAACACCAGATTACAGCAGATCATGGGAACACCAAAACCAGTGATGGCCACTTATCAGTTAGGACAGACCACAATTAATGAGCATCAGATTTTCTCAGGAGCCAATTTCTATATTAACTCTTAACTAGAGCAAGTGGTGAGCAACTGAGCAAATGACTGAAGATTACCAAGGCAGCACAGCATTTACTGGACAAGTGGGAAAGTCCATAAAAGCTGGACTGATATTCTTATTAATCTCTCTGTCAGTTGATTACCAGACTCTTAGCTAACACTCCTGCATTCACCACTGAAAGAAAGTATTTTTAACATATTGTCTAAAATATTTTCATGTTTGAGTGTGGATATGATCAGTCTTACTCTCCATCATGGGAAGAACTCCGGAGGCAGCCAGAACTGGGCTTCTAGGCTCTTGCTGTAAGCTTCCCTCCCACTCCACCATGGAACTCACTATCAGTAGGAACTCAGCACAAAGAAAACCCTCCTTAAATCTTCCCTAATCAGACAATTGTGCTAAAAATTTCTGATTTTTAAGACACAAGCAAAGAAAACAACACATTAGAAATACACTGAGCAAAGGGAAATTCATTATCTTTGTGACAAGGAAGTGGGGAAACAGGACATCCCTCCTACTATGAAACTAGCAGTTGAGTAGCCTTGCATTGGTCATCTGAGAGCAACACATCTTAGCTTTTGATCTTGCATAGCTCATCCTTCATTACACCTTCACCACAACAATGCTTACCAGTTTGTGATTCAGTTGCTAGTGCTCAGATCTAGATTATATACTAAGGCTAACAGCTGTACCTTGCAAGGACAAAGCATACCATGGTCCAACTACAAGAGATGAATTATGCCAAATCTTTTGGAGATCTCAGCCGTCACAGTTTCATACTAACCAAGCTAAAAGTACTCTACAGCATTAAAGGAAATGAGAACCTTTAAACAGGCTGTGGTATCAGAGCTGCCTGTTTAAATTATTCATTTCATCACTATGGGGGACTAAAACACTCCACAGCATGTAAGAATATCATATGGAGATAGGTTTTGTTTTTCTCTTTTTTCACCAAAAAGCCAACAAATTGGCATAGATTGCTCAATTACATTATTTTCCTATTTTTATTTTATATACATCAAACAAGAAAGGAAATTACAAATATATACCAATAAATATCTACTCTTCTTTTCTGATTGAGATTCCATCTCCCCACTTGAGTCCAGTACCTCAACTGTACAGTCTCTGCCACTTCTACAAAATTACTCAGCCCAATTGATTCTGCTATTGTTACATTTATTTGTCATTATTAGACTAAGACGTGGAGCATGATGCTTCATGAGCATTCACTCCAGTGAACGAGTTGCCTAATTATATTGGACACTGAGATGGTCCATGGTTACACATCATTTATTTGAAACATTTAAGTGGCTGATATTCTCATTCACAAGAGACTGCATGAAGGAAAGGAAAAAGAATATTCTTCATGAGAAAGAAATAAATCTTAACAGCAATGCAGTTTCTAAAGGCCTTTTATAATCCTTTATATCAACGTGACTGAGCTTAATAAATATATTCGTATCATTGTTCCTTTATTGCAATAATCTGTCATGATTAGAAAATCAGCAATTATATTAAAAGAAATAACCCTCTGACTACAATTAGGTGTAACTCTTTGGCATAATCAATAAATAATTTGATATTACTTTTGATCACAGTTTCACTACTAAACGAATCAATAATATAAAAGGAAAAGCCTTTGAACTAAAGTGTTCATTTGTTCTTTCAGAATTTGCCCAAAATATCAATACATTCATATCTTCAATTACCATTCTTATTTTTATTAAGGTAACACTGGTAACACTTTCAAGCATAGCTTTCAAAAAGTGACAATGAAATTGTTCATCCAAACTTGGCAATAAAGTGAGTTTTAGATTTTTTTTTTTAGTTCATAACTAACAGCTGTTTATAAATATGTACTTTAGCCAAATGCAAGAATGATAGTTTGAGCTGGAAATGTCACACACTGCTACAGTTTGAAGGAACCCAATTCATAATGCATTTTATAAATAGTTAATGACTTCTATACATAAGCTAACCAGGCAAATCAAGAAATTGTCAACATTTTTAGTCTTAGTTGTCAGTTACCACTGTCTACTTTATATGTATGCTTCTAGAAAAGACAGAAGCTTTACAGAGTTTGTAATCCACGGAATTTCTGGGCAGCTCAGTATAGGCTATCGCTTCTATGTGCAGTTTTTCTTCTATAAAAATCTGTCACACGGAGAAGTTTTCCTTGTATTTTGTATTTTCTTGTGCATACACACACCAGAAGTCTAAGCACACAAGCGCTTTTACCCCTGTCTACACATCCCCATTCAAAGCCAGCACGCAGATGAACACACCACCACACAAAAGGGTTAAGCTACTTTCTGTAAAACTTCAAGACAGATAAAGTTTCAGGGACTGTTTTAAATGTACTACAGTATCCAGACCTTCTGACAAGGAAGAATTTCTGATTCCAAGCAGATCTCTCTTGGTTTATGAACAGGATTTTTGCATACTGATTGGGTGATTTTCTTAAAGCCCTGTTCAAACAGATAGACTTGCTCAGTTCTGTCTGGCAATTTGGCTTTAAACAATCCGTCTACTTGACCCAAGCCTTAACATTTCCCAATAGAACTGAATGTGTTCATGGGCAAGCACAGCTAAATTAGAATTGAAATGAATTAACTCAGCTTAAACTAATTAAGATCTGTGATCTGCAGCACCACCCCCCTGTATGATTCTACATGTGAAGCAGGGTACATGTAACCAGACTGAGAATTCTTCTACACTACTAATCTGAGTTTAACAATGAAGTTTGTCTATTACTAAAGCATATGAGAAGTTAATTTCCACGGCCTACACATGGCAAAGCAATTGCTTAAATTGCCTCACCTGGGAATTTAATACAATGTTATCATCAGACCAGCCACACTGTAAATAGATTTATAATGCTTTCCATGTGCTAGGCTAGGTTGCATATGAATTAAGTAATGATCTGGTATTACAATACAATCAGCTAGTTCCCACACCTGGCAGACAGGATATTTTGCTAAATTACTACCTATACAGATACATCACAACATAAAAACAGAAAAGGCGATGGGAAGAGAAACAATCTACATGGTGTATGACCAATTTTTACACGGTACCCAAATAAGATGTAGATGGAAAGAGGTATCCAAAATAATCTGTTTCCAACATCTGTACAACACAGTGCATACTTATTCATTTCTATTCAATTTTGGCCTAATTTTCCGCATTCTATACTTTAATTACTCATCCATACTCTGAAACGTTCCCATTAGCAAAGGCCACAACTAGCCAATGCCCCTTTACTCCAACACACTTTCAGCAATCAGCCAAATAATTGATATAAAGTGTATTTTCATACCTGAGCTGCAGAATAGCATTCCTCCTAAATGCTAAGCAGGCCCCTGAGCAGAGAACTAAACCAAGGTGCATTTCAGAGAAAAAGCCCAACAAACCTCTCCGTTTTTCAGCCTCAGTGTTTTAAGAATGGATTAAAAAGACTTTTCTGTAAAAAGTGTAAACCAACAAAAGGGCTTATTTACCTACAAACATCTGTTTTCTTTAGAATTTCCTACTACATACATATGGTTTAAAAAAATAAAAAATAAAAAGTCTTCCAGCATATGTTTGGTCCTGCTCTAGATGTAAATAAATACATAAGATTAGCCTAACCAGAATTATTCCATAATTCCTAGGAATACATTATACCATTGTATTTGGTTTTGTGCTGTTTGAGAGTGGTCACTTTTACCACTGCTCTTGTTAAAATAAGGTGAAAAGTGACCTGGTCTCCAAATGGACTGTGAGGTACTGCAGATTGTAGACCTTGACCTCACTGATGAGATACCTTAAGTAATTTTTGCTGGACAGAAATGGAGAAGTTAGTTTTAAAATTTGGAAGAAAAGTAACTTTGCCTAACAGTCTTAAAGCTTTTATTTGACCAACAATACAATAACACTTCTTCAGAAACAAAATAAATGAAATTGCTCAAAAATTGTGTTCAAACTTCTGTTTCCAAAATTTCCGTGTTTCTCTGTAAGGATTATACATAAACAACAGATAAGATACTTCACACTGACATCAGAAGTGCGTTCTCCTGTTCCTGAACAGCCTATTTTTTATTCAAGGTGGATAAGAAGCAGGAAACTGATTACGTAAAGTCAATATATGACACAATGTAATGCTGGAATTTTAAGCATTTCCTTATGGATATAAAACAACAAATATATTTCTGGCCTAAGGGAGGTAAACTATTTTACAAAACTTACAAAACATTTCACTGGAAGCATCAATGCAGCAGCAGATGTCAGCTGGC